ATTGAGAGATTAGGATTTCTCATGAGGGATGAAGATTTCCCCTGTATGTCATTGAGAGATGAGGATTTCTCTCAAGGGGATGAGAATTTCTCTCGAGGAGATGATGATTTCCCCTGCATACCGATAGTTTGACGGCGGTCGGGGCGTTACAAAAATGGTGTGAGAAAATTAATTAGTGATTTTAGAAATTTAAGGTTGTTAGAATGCTAAAGTTGTCAATCAATGAATTTGATAAATAAATTCTATATATTCTATACATAAAATAATTATGTACATGAATGTACAAGACACTTAATTGTAATTTGTTGAAATTCATTTACATAAGAATTAGCTATTATATTGTTAAAACTAATTGCTAAAGTTATTAAAAGCTATTTAATTTTGGGATAATTACAAAAATACCATTTTTGGTGTGTTCATTTTCAAAAATGCTACTCTAGGTTGTTCATTTGAAAAATTGCCTCTAATTAAATATTTTTAAACTATAAATCTTAAAATTCTAAAGCCTAAAAAATATTTTGACCCCAAACAAACCCTAAACCTCAAAACTAAACTATAATACAATATAGTTAACCCGAACATATATTATATATTGAATAAATAATTTTTAAAAAGTGATATTTTTGAAAAGTGTTATTTCTCAAAAATTCTCTATAGTTTTTCTTATCTATTCGATAAATAAATTAAAAAGCCAAATGTCAAAAAAATAATACAATCAAACATCAATTATTCTCTCCTTACAATTTAAGGTTCTAGAGAAATAAGACACAAATATGCATTCCAGCAATGTTGAGATGATGCAAATGTCTCGATACAAGCAAAACATACTACAACTTGTCTAATCACTTTTACAAACGTATTTGATGCAAGAAAAAAGACGACCAATCATTTTTTTAGGGAAGTGTAGTGAATATTGATAAAGACATACAAGTTGGAGATTTGTATAAAAGAATATATCATCCATATGCATACACTGTAATTTTTATTAATAACAGTTTACTTCTTTTCATAATATAACATTGTATATGTCCAACATTTTGCTTCAAATGCTTAGTCTTCTAACCTAGATAATTATTTACTACAACAACAAAATTTTGCAATATTAAATACACAAATAATCAATAAGATAGAATTATTGTATATTTTACAATGTTAATTTTTAAATCTACGCAACGCGTGGACAATCTCTAGTTGATTATATTTTACGGTTTATACTTTCTATAATTTTTTTCTTAATTTACTTTTATTATTAATTTGAGCTATTAATTTTTTTTTATCTAGCTATTTTGGGTTAATAGAAATTTTCATTTTTAAAATATAAGAAAAATTTATTTTTTACTATTTGGTTAGAAATTATTTCGTCCGTTTTCCATTTTTATTTTTATTTTTTATTAATTAATTTTAATTATTAACACATGTAATCATATGAACAAATATTGGACACATGTTGCAATCTAACGAATTTTGCTTGTGTCATGCTCTCATCGCGCGCATCTGCGCGTATCTTCCTTTATATAATAAGATAAAGATATCCGATAAATCAACTACTGCGACAATTTATACAAATATTACTTTTGAAGGTCACGCAAAGATAAGCTTAAAGACGATCTACTACTCATGAAGAAAATAAAAAAATATAATGTATACAAAATGGCATGTGTTATATATACTATAAGTAAGTGAAATCAGGAATTAGACATGGCAACTGTCATTAATGTAGATATGTTAGTTGCAACAGATCTTTACCAACCGATGTGGATTCAGTTCAAAGCATCCACAATGTCATTGCATACTTTTCAAACACTAAAATAATGGTCAAATTTCTCAGGTATCAAAGAAAATTACTCCAAATCTTATGCCTTTCTTCTTTTATTGAAGAGTGATCTCAAATATAACCCCTTCCAAGTTTCCCACGGTACACCGAGTCCCAGAAACTTCATTCATCAGCATCCCGTGCTGAGCGCCTTCCCTCAAGATCGCTGAATCCATCCTGAAAGAACATTTCAATTAGTTTTCTCTGTGACTCAAATGTAAATTGCAACCATTTGTGGAAAATGCAAAAGTTGTGGCTGTCTAGCTTACTGTCTGGCCCGTGATACGTATGCTAGTATGAATTTGCAATTTCCGTGTCCCCTAATCCGCAGAAGCTGCTCTACACTGTCAAATAGCAATGGCACACTAGATTGCTGAAAGCTTACGTATTGTCAAGGCTATGTTTTTTTCTTCATTCCAGTCCCCAATACAGTTTAAGTGATCCGAACTGACCCAAAACTGAACCAAACAGAAGATAAACTGGTTTCGTTTTATTTTCTATATTAAACTGAGTAAAACCGTAATTTCTTTAAAGATTTTTCAGATTAAAGTTGTATTTTCTATATATCCGAATCCATACCAAAACCTGAACTGTATAGACCAAACTAAGAACCACTGTACCATGCGGATATATACATAAGGATATAGATATCAGCTCCAAGAATAAGGTCAAAGCCATCGTTATGTTTCTGTAAAATTTCACCAAGACGATCACTATTTCCCCATTCTAACTTTGCAGCCTCTAATTCTGTACGTGAAACAGAATCCATCAATAGTATGAACGATGAGAATCAGTAGCTTAATTGATATTTATTCTCACCAGCTGAGGGGTTAGGACCGCTCGAATGTTCATGAAGCTCGATGTTTTTCTTCAATATCTGAAAAGTTCGCTTAGAAGAACCTGATTATAATCTACCAATGATGAAATTCACAGAGTAAATCTTCAGCAAAGCAACCTTGCCTTGAGCACTTCATCGTTATGGTCAGTAAGAATAACTTTAGAGCAAAATTTGCTACAGAGGACTCCAGTTATACCTGTGTTATAAGAGATTAAGGATCAGCGACTTTACAGGAATTAAAACCAGAAATGAAAATAGGTAAGCTATGAAAGAACGTTCTGCAAATTAAGGACACACATTTAGGATTTTAAACAAGTGAATGATGGTGAGGCAACTACACTGGAATTAAACAAGATACGTTGGTGTGGTACAATTGAAATGAAAACCGGAGAGATAATAAGAAAAGCACATACCAACGCCAGATCCCAACTCCAAAACTGAACATCCCTGGAGAATCTCAGCATTTTCTGAGAGATAACCGTTCATAAGCATAGCACCGGGCCAAACCAGCTGCCCTGTTAAATCAAAATCAGCTGTCCCACAAACATGTTAGGGGAGACAACATGTTATGTAAGAACAATATAGCTTTTACGATAAATACTACGAAGGTGGAAATCCAAAGATCTCTAAAGACATTGCTCAAATTTCGACTTTCTACGATAATAAGAGTTCAAAGAATACAGCAGCCTAGAAATACATATAGTAAGTAAACCCAGACTGACTAGTGAGGTAAGTTAATAATGAAGATTTTCAAGAGCACATAGACAAGAGAAGTTCTCCATGGGCAATAAACTAGAGATGAAGTCTCATTTGGAGTGTCGACATTAAAAGAAGGAACAAATCATTTATAGAACAACTCACTTGAAGCTGATTGGAGACAGTAGAGCTCAAGAACATGGGACCCAAAGGTAAAAGTAGTAAGCTGATAACTGCATTAGCAAAAACCAGAAAAGGTGTTGAAGCAAACAAGACAATTGATGAATGAAACCAAAATTAAAACAAACATTTTTATTGTTTTTGGGTAAGAATTGAATTACTCATCGTTGATGAAGAAGGACTCATCCAAGCAGACTATCTCTTCTTCTTCCTCTGGCTCATTTGCTTCTCTCCCTTTCTCGCCCATCTTTCACTGCAAAAAAATCAGATTCCACAAATATCATTGTTCAATTCCATAGATAGAATAACCCCAAAGAACTCCTAAACCGTTCATACGGAGGAGGCTGCGGCGGTCAAGAGCTGCGTCTGCGGGAACTGGGAAAAGT